GGCTCTGGTCAAACTTGTGAATAGTAAGATGTAGGAAGTGAAAAAGGTGGAGAAATTGAGGGTGTCAATTTTGGAGTATCTTAAATAAGTGATGTCATTTACCAACATAAAAGAATTTAAAAATAATTTTAAGAGAGAAGGAGCAGTTGACAGTGAATTTAGTGTGGGGTAACTTAACAGCTGACATCCAAAAGTCAGTTGGAAATTCAAGAAACATGCAGGAAGAGGTCAGAACTCAGATGGTATCTTTGGGATTAATTAGGATGTAATCTAAATTTCTCTCCCTTTCCTGAGTCTATGCAGCTTTTGTGTGAATCTCTCAGGGTTCAGAGCATAGGAGGTTCTAGGCACTTTTAAGTGTGATTAATGTTTTTGTGTTTCCCTGACTTGTTTTTTTTTAAAAAAAACCTGAATATTAATGGGAAATTATGGTAGATTAAATTTGTATTCATAAACAGAGTTTAAAGTCAAAATAATGGAGACATGAACATGATTAAAGGAATTGAACCTAAATGACAAAATATGCTAATAAATATATTTTGTGGTGTTTTAAAGCAATCAACCTCACCTTTTATGATAGCTGAGATTGGATGGGTAGGAAATTGAGGGGCAAGTAAATAGAATGCCATCAAGGTCGCTCTGTGCCATTAGCACATTTTCTGTTCATTAGTCATTGTAGTGCTCTATGTATCATTCTGTTTATCTACTTCTTTTTAAATTTTGTCTAAGCAGTTTTGCTAATCACTTCCTTTTGTTTTTTTTTAATAATCCTCACCCAGGGATATTTTTTTCCATTGATTTTTAGAGAGTGGAAGGGAGGGAGAGAGAGAGAGACACACATACATGGATTGGTTGTCTCCCGCACAAGCCCGGACTGGGCCTGGGATTGAACCTGCACCCAAGGTACGTGCCCTTGACTAGGAGTTGAACTGGGAGCCTGTGGCCTGATTCTGTAACCACTGAGCCAAACTGGCCAGGGCTAATCACCTCCATTTCTTACTAGATGCTTCCATATTAGTATTTTCTATAAAGCTTGAAGAAATAAATGTGCTGGTGTCAAATTAAGTTTAAGTCTTTGGAACAAACTAAAAATAAATTATTGAAACGTTATGATGAATTTAAGGTTTAGTGTTTTGAACTCAAAAGAGTGCATTAGTTGCTTTTGGTAGAAAATAATGGCCAGGTGGCTCACTTAGGTCTGTAGATTAATATACTTGCACAGCAACACCTATGTCTTCCTGGGAATATATGGTATTAGGAAGATTAGGAACAGTGGAGAAGCCTTTTATAGGAACTGGTGCGTGGGAGGACCTCTATTTTATTTCACCTTGGCCCAGTAATGTAATAGTTTCCTACTTTTCTTGATGATGGTCCTTTTTATGTTAATTAGCTCTTTAGTTTACAGAATGCTGCCTGAGTAATATTTGGAAGTTTATTTAATTCTTATAGCGAATCATTATGGTCAGTATAATATTATCATTTTATGTTTGAGAAAACTGGAGTATTATACCTAGACCAGTATTTCCTTCTCAGAGTGTCATGACATTGTGTTACATTAAATAGACTTTATTAGTGGGTTGTGTTCAGCACAGGATCACTGTGAGAAACTTAAGTAGAGTTATCCCAAAATAAAAATGGTAAGCTATTTTCAGTTGAATTTTGGCTCTAGAATGTATTTCAGAAAGGACTTTTTTGCTGCTTGTTAAATATGTCTGACCTTAAATTTTTTTCATCTTAAAATAAGAATCATTTTAATCCTTTATTTTTTCTCTCCTGAACCTTATTGACTGTTTCCCATTCCCTTCTAGGTACTTTGTTTTTTCCAACAGTTTCTATTCTGAATTTTCGCACATTGACAATTTATATGGAAAAGGTGCAATGAGAAAAAATGAATATCTAAAAGACTGTTTTTGTTAAAAAAAATTTTTTACAAAGTTTCAAACACACACAAAAATAGAATAACACAGTGAACCCCCATATGTCCATTGTTGAGATTCAACAATTTTCAACTATTTGCTTTGTTTCTCCCCTTATTTGTAAAGTAAATCTCAGACTTGTCTATTATACCTCTCATGCATCAGTTTGCATTTCTAAAAAAATACAAATATTTCATAAATGCAATGCCAGTATCGTACGTAACAAAATGAACACTAATTCTTTGATATTATCAGTTATCGAGTCCATAATCAGATTTCCTGGTTCTTAGAAATGTCTTTTTACAGTTGACTTGTTCAAATCCAGATCAGATAAGTTCCACACATTACATTTGGTTAAAGACCAATTTTTAAAGCAGATGGTTTTTAAGGAGCCACATGGGAAAGTTCTCATTGATCCCGTCAAGGATTTTATTTTCAACTCCCTGTGACATGCCCTCTTTCTCTGTTGTTCCCAACTAATTTTTTTCTTTTTTTCTTTTTTAATTTTTTTTTATTTTTGAGGGGCGGAGAAGGAGAATCCCCAATGTTGATATATTACAAATGAGAGATTAAAAGTTTATTTTATTTTTTAAAGCGATCTTTATTGAATCCTAACGTTACATAGTAATTCAAAGTTCTGTACTTTTAAAGATATCTAAAATATTAACATGACTGGGATTAATGGTTAACATTATGCAGCAAATTGAACAATAATGCAATATAAGCATTTTATAAAAGTGCAAGTGAAGAAAAGATGTGACATTCAATATGAATTACTTTCAGAAAATATTAGCATGTTCAGTTTATAGGAAATGATTTGATTTTACCAAAAGTAAAAGAAATAGCAACGGCAGTGATGATTATTTCTCATTTCTTCATGCAATATTCTCAAATCAGACTTTTGGTTTGTTCTCTCTTTTATTATAGATATAAGTAGATAGGTAGATGATGATAGATAGATAGATAGATAGATAGATAGATAGATAGATAGATAGATGATTTTGTACTGCCAAAGTAGCCAGTCTGCTCAACTGTTTTCCAATGTTCTTATGTTTTACCTGACAGACTTGCACTACTTCATTTTTTTATTAAAGTATACTTGACATACAATATTACTAGTTTCAGGTGCGTAACAGTGATTCGACATTTATGTTATCTTACGATGTGCTCACCACACTAAGTCTAGTAATTATCTGTCGAGTAACCAACTGTGTAAAGTTATCACACTATTATTGACTATATTCCCCTTCACTTTTATCACCCATTCTCCCTCCCTTCTGGCAACCATCAGTTTTTTGTTTCTATGAGTCTTATTTTGTTTCATTTTGTTTGTTTCTTTGATTTGATTTTTTTAAACTCCACATATAAGTGAAATCATGAGATATTGTCTTTCTCTGTCTGACTTGGTTCTAAAAGGTTAGAAATAAATATTTGAAATACCAATCTAAATATTTGTGAGATCACATAAGAGTGGACCAAAGAGGATCTTAGCAGTTCCCTTTCAAAGTCCTTGTAACGGCTAACTATATGGAATTTTCCTGAATCACTAAAAATAATACTAAAATAATTTTGAATGTAATGCACTGCTGTGTATGACTGACTAGGCTAATCCTATCTAGGGTGTCACAACCAAGTGTCTTTCTCACATTTGGGCGTGGAAATGGTAGAGCGTAGCTATCAAAATACCTTTCCCTAGTTGTTGCTTAACATGCTTTAAATCAGACTTACTAGTTTCCAAAGTCAGTATGCAAGTTTTTATTGTTTCTTTAGGACAGGTTAGACTTTTTAAATACAATTTCCTAGACTCATTTGGAGAGAGATATACAAATTAGTTTGTAGTAAAGAGATTAGATAAATCAATCTCATCAATGTTTTTATTTTTGAAAAGAATATAGAGTAATATAAAAATCTTTGTATGAAATTGGCATTACAATTCATTAGTCATTTGATCAGAAGTTCCCTTCTGGTGTTTAGCCAGGCATTTTTGACAAAAAAGATGGAATCCTGTGTCAGGGTTTGCATATATATTTGTGCAGGTTATACACTGCACAACAGAGGATTGGGACTTTTGTATGAGAGTCAGCTTATATATTAGGATAGTTTCTGGCTGATGGCAGTAAAGTATCTTGAGGAAGGAGCACTTAATTTCTATTTTTACAAAGACTGTATAGGGGCTAGCAGTGGTACTGTGGCCTATGCTTCTGACTATTTAGAAATGAATATTTGTTGAAGTAATCAAGAAGAGCCTGTACAGCAATACTATTTCATATGAGATTATATCATAATTTAGCATTTGCTTTTTGGCAACCTCAATAATATAGTGCAGGGTCCACAGCCAAAAGAAGGTAACAATGGGCCAGTGAAATGAAATAAATTATACAAAGTTTATAAACTATATTTTATATATAGAAAAGCCTATTTCATTTAATATATGAATTTCTGGCCCATTTATCTGTTTTCCAGCCCAATCATTTAAAGCAACTAGAAGGGGGAGAAGCTGTATAGTTAAGTAGCTCACAGAAGCAGTAAGTGATAGTTGATAAACAGATGGCCAATGGTGGAAATAGAAAACTTAAAAAAAAAATAGACACAGGATCCTAAACAAACTCAAAAATCTAGTGTAGATTGATATCAAGCTGGTAAATGAAGAGGCATTCCTAGCTTGGAAACGTGAAGAGAGTACTGTTCTGCTGCAAAATACAGTCAGTGGTAGTCATGCTAATGACTTGGAATTGAACAGAAAATGTTAAATAGAGTATTTAATGAGTTTTGTAATACATTTTAGAAAGCTTTTTAAAAACAGCTAAAATTTCACCAAATGTTGGTTCTTAAAGAAATTTGAGTGCCTGGCATAGTATTTACTTAATAAAATGTGCTGCTTAGTTATCTTCGTTAAACCTACCAAGTTCACCTATGTGGACTTCTTTTTCTAATGATGCCAGATAAATGAGGTTTCTCTAGTCCGATCACACTTAGGAATTGTTTCTAAAGAGAGAATTTGGGACAAGAAAAAACTATAAAAATGTTTGCTACAGATTTTCCATTTGTAGTTTTTCATATATAATAAAGACTATATGTTTGTATTATATACTACATAAAATACTTACTACAGATATTTCATTTGTGATATCTAACATATAGTAAACACTGTTTTTACAAATATTTTTTTCTGTAGAAGTGCATAATTCTTGCTAAAAAATTAGCTTATCTGACCCAAAATATGAACAGCTGTGAAATTCACTATTGAAAAAATTTCTTGAGCTCTAAGAATATTTTATGTTTTTTGAATCATAGGCTGAAGACTTTAAGTGACAAGTCAAGAGAAGCTAAAGGAAAAAGCAAACCAAGGTAAGCTTATGTTAAGATTTAATTTACTGTGACTTAAATTTCATCCAACTTTTGGTTATAGTCATAATGGTATGATTATTTTAATGGGTTTTATATCTATTGAGTGCCCCTGACTACAAAACAATTTATTGTTTCTTTCTAAATTTTATAACTGGAAAATTTTTTTATAAAATTGTAAAATGATTCAAAAAATGGTGAAGTGTAATTGTTTTACTCTGACAATCAATGACTATTTTTCAATCACAATAAATCATTTTTATTTTCATACTAAGATGAAATTAAAAGCCCTGCATTATAAAGAAGCAAATTAATAATGGAAGAGAACCTGGCAAGCAAGCATCTTTAGCCCTGTTACCTGTTTTGTATGAAAACACTGGTGTCATTTTTTAATAAAGCACATGACCAAGTTTCACATTCAACCTAGAGAGGATGAGCTTTTTTAAAAAAATCCTTATTTTGCATTACATTAAAATGTTGATTGTATTATTATGTGCTGAAAATAATCTGTAGGGCAAAGTAATTTTTGACAGTATGTTATAGCATATTAACTTTGAAATAAAGCAATACATTTCTCTAAAAGTTTAGGTGAGTTATTAGTGATTTTAAAATATTTCACAATTGACAATGTCAAAATTCTTATATGTAACTTTTTATTTAAGTTGCCCTAAATCTTGCCCGGCCAGTGTGGCTCAGTGATTGAGCACTGACCTAGGAACCAACAAGTCATAGTTCGATTTTCCATCAGGGCACATGCCTGGGTTGCAGGCTCGATACCCAGTGGGGGGCGTACAGCAGGCAGCTGATCCATGATGTTTCTCTCTCATCGATGTTTTTCTCTCGCTATCCCTCACCCTTCCTCTCTCTCTAAAAATCAATAAAAACGTATTTTAAAATAAAATTTAAAAAGTAAACTTGGCCTAAATCAGAAATAATTTTAATAAAATAAGTGGTGTTTTTTTTGGCAGGACTGTTTCATATTTGCCAAAGTACTCTGCTGGACTAGAATTACTTAGCAGGTAAGTGTTTTCATTTAAATAACAAGATTATGCTTCTATTTTATTTTCTAAAAATATTTTATAATTTTGTAGATAGAAACCTTAGAACAGCTAAATTTTATCTGAACATGGTGATTGGAAATTATTTATTCTTTTTTGAGAGGGGCTTTTACTTTTCACTGATTAATACAAAGCGATTAAGACTTTGAGAAGATTGATCAAATTGTATCGACTAGTCAATACTTTATTATGTGTATGTATTATTCTTATGGTTTCTTTGTCACAGGAAAGTTGAGTACTCAGTAATTTTCTTACTTCGATTCTTAATTTTATATTATTTCTTCGCGGTTTTATAGATATAGTTTTCTTAGCGTAAGTAACAAAAGGAAAAATAGATCAGTTGGACTTTATAGAAATAAAAAACTTCTGCCCGGCCGGGCGTGGCTCAGCGGTTGAGCGTCGACCTAGGATCCAGGCGATCAGGGTTCGATTCCTGGTCAGGGCACATGCCCGGGTTGTGGGCTGCAGCCAATCAATGACTCTCTCATCATTGATGTTTCTATCTCTCTCTCCCTCTCCTTTCCTCTCCCTGAAGTCAATAAAGATATATTTTTAAAAAAAAAAAAAATTGAAAAAAAAAAAAGAAATAAACTTCTGTACCTCAAAGAATACCGTCAAGAAAGGGAAACAGCAGTCTACAGAATGGAAAAAAATACTTTCAAATCATATACCTGATGAAGGACTTGCATCTAGAGTATATAAAGAAGTTTTATAACTCAACAATAAAAATACAGCCCAATGAAGAAATAGGCAAAGAATCTAAATAGACATTTCCCTGAGGAAGATATACAGATGGCCAATAAGCGCATGAAAAGATGCTCAACATCATTAGTCACCAGGGAAATGTAAATAAAAACCACAAAAATAACACTTCACACCCACTAGAATGGCTGTAATAAAAAAGGCAGACAGTAACAAGCGTTGAGGATATGGAGAAATTAGAAATATTTTGCATTGCCTGTGGTAATGTAAAATGGTACAGCTATTGTGGAAAACAGTTTGGTAGTTCCTCAAAAAGTTAAACATAAACTTACCATGTGACCCAGTAATTTCACACCAAGAAAATTAAAATCTTATGTCTACATAAAAATTTGTACACAAATGTGTATAGCAGTATTATTCATAAAGCAGTATTATTTATAATAGCCAGAAAGGAGAAGCAGTTGATGAGTGGATAAACAAAATGTGGTATGTTCATACAATGGAATATTATTCAACCACAAAAAGGAATGAAGTACTGATACATGGTGCAGTGTGGATAAAACTTAAAAATATGTGAAGTTAAACCAACACAAAAGAGCCCACATATTGTATGATTCCATTTATATGAAGTGTCCAGAATAGGTGAATCCGTAGAGACAGAAAGTATATATGTGATTGCCAAGGTTTGTTGGAGAGAGGGGAATGTGTAATAACTGCATATGTGTAACAGTGCATATGGTCTTTTGCGGGGAGGGGGGGATGAAAATATTCTGGAATTAGCAGTGACAGTTGCCCAACTTTGTGTATATATTAAAACTACTGAATTGTACACTTTAAGACAGTGAATTCTATGCAAATTACTTCAATAAAACTTAAAAATAAATATGTTTTTAGTATGTTGTTATATGCAGTAGAAGGTATGGTTCTTTATCTGCATTTATAATGACCCAATCATCTACACTTACGTTTTGCTTTCTCTTTTCTCATTTTTTTGGGGTGGGTGGATGTTGTTTTTATTGTTGCTAAATCTAGAGATTTTTTTTCTTCTCCAAAATGAAAAGTCCTCAATTTGATATTAATTTCATGCTTGGTTTTGTTGAGTGAAGTACATAAGTGAACCTGAAAGGAGGTGTAATAAAAATTAGAGGTGTACTGCTGTTTACTATTTACATTTTATCTTTATTTTTTAAATTTAGTGATTTAATTGAAAGAACTTTATTGAAAGATTTATATTAGAGGTATGGACTTTTGTGTGGTAGTTGTTTAGGATGGAGTACATTTTGGGACTTAATATGAAAACTTTACAGTCATAGGAAGGTGTCTATAATGTGTCCATTCATTGCACTGAAAGTCTTTTCTCTTTAGAACTAATATTGAGTAAAGGAAAAACCATTTTAAATAGCAGATATCTAAATTGTAACTTTTTAATGATAAAAAAATTGTGATAAAATACACAACATAAAATTTACCATCTTAAATTGTACATTTTAAGATGTAAGTGTAAGTGTACAACTCAGTAGTGTTAAGTATACAACTCAGTAGTGTTAAGTATATGCACATTGTTGTGCATCCAGTCTCCAAAACTCTCTTCATCTTGCAAAACTGAAACTACCCAGTAAACGACAACTCCCCATTGTCCCCTTCCCCCTGCCTCTGGCAGTCATTCTCCTTTCTCTTTCTATGACTTTGATTAGTATTTTAGGTACCTCATATAAATGGAATTGTACAATATTTGCTTTTTGTCACCAGCTTATTTCACTTAGCATGTTTTTAAGGTTCATCCACATTGTAGCATTTATGTTAGAATTTTCTTCTTTTTCAGGCTGAATAATACTTTATTGTAAGTATGTAGTCCTGTGCTGCATTACGATGTTTCAGTCAATGGCAGACAGCATATACAGTGCTCTCATTAGATTATAAGCTGAATTTCTTGTAAGAAATGGGAGGATATGTGGTTCAGGAGGAATTTGTTTTACTCTGATGGGAGCAGTATGTGTGGAGCTTGGCAACAGATTTCCTCTCATTCACAGAACTTCAATTTTGAGTTCACAGATTACATCCCAGTCAGTCAGCCACTGACCTGTTTCAGCACAGAGAAGTCTGTTCCCCTAGTGCTACATATTCAGAGGGTACTACAGCCCTCCCAGATCTAGCATGATGGTCTTCAGAGGACATTGTTGTAAATTCTTTGTTAAGGACCTAAGATCTTGTACAAGGACACAGGTCCACAGGAGGTACCATAACAGGTACAGGTAGACCTTGCTTTATTGTGCTTCATTTTGTTACACTTCACAGATGTTGTATTTTTTACAAATTGAAGGCAAGACCCTCCACTAGAAAAAAGACTACAACTCACTTTATTGCGATGGTCTGGAACTGAACCCGCAGTGTGTCTGAGGTATGCCAGTACTGAGTGCCACTGCCACTTTAGTAAAGCTTTCTGTGGTAGTGTAGAGCCAACTTGTTCCTATACTTTGGAACTATTTTCAGGTTGTAATGCTGTAAAGCAAATAAAAATTTAATTTCTTCTATCATTCAATGCCAGAGAGCACCATTTGTGCCAAATAGGGTCAGTGGTACCAGAAACAAATTTCCAAGTTCAAAATACTGAGTCCTTAGTTTTATGCTCTCTCCATATCAAATTCTCCGCCTTTTTAAATGAATACCACAGAATTCCTTAACCTGACCACTGCTCCTACATGCAGTATTGCCATGACAATCCCCTATGTTCCTTTATCTCTGCATCTTGATTTATTATTCTTATTGATCTCAGGCCACCTTTCACTCCCTCTTGACAGTCACTGTTGTGGTGATCTGTGCCTTGCCCACCCTGTTTCTCCATATTTCCAATCAGTCCAGCCCAGATCCCTGACCATGGAGCAGCATGCATTGACAGCTTCGATGTTCTGTTTCTGACCCTGTTAGAAAGAAACTCTGGGAGGGCTTGTGCAACAGTGTTTGTAAAGTCTACAGTAGTGGACAGTAGTGTCCTAGGCCTTCACACTCTCTCACCACTCACTCACCCAGAGCAATTTCCAATCCTGCAAGCTCCATACATGGTAAGTGCCCTATATGGGTATACCACTTTTATCTTTTATACCATATTTTTAGTGTACCTTTTCTATGTTTAGATATGTTTAGATACACAAATACCACTGCATTACAGTTGCCTGCAGTATTTAGTACAGTAACATGCTGTACTAGATTGTGTAGCCTGGGAACAATAGGCTATCTCATATAGCCTAGATGTGTAGTGAGCTATAACATATAGGTCTGTGTAAGTGCACTGTATCAGTTTGCTTAACGACAAAATCACCCAACAATCACCATTGTTAAGTAATGTGTCACTGTATACCATATTTTGCCTATGCATTCATCCACTAAAGAACACTTGGGTTGCTTCCACCTTTTGGCTGTTGTGAATAATGCTGCTGTGAACATGGGCACACAACTATCTCCTCCAGATCTGCTTTCAGGTTTTTTGGGTATGTACTAGAAGTGAAATTGCCGTATCATATGATAATTCTATTTTTAATTTTGTAAAGAACCGTTACACTGTTTTACATAGCAGCTGCACCATTTTACATTCCCATCAGCAGTGCATAATGGTTCCCTTTTCCTCACATCCTCACCAAAACTTATTTTGGGGGAGTTTTTGTTTGTTTGTTCGTTTGTTTTATAGATATTCTAATTGGTGTGAATGGTGAGAGTGAGCACTCTACACTTGTTCCTGATCAGAGAGGAAAAGCTTTCAACCTTTCACCATTGAATATGATGTTAGCTAGGGGCTTATCTTGTATGGTCATTAGGTTGAGATACATTCTTTCTATACCCAATTTGTTAAGAGTTTTTATTACGAACAGATGTTGAATTTTGTCAGATGTTTTCTTTGTGTCTATTGAGATGATCATATGATTTTCTTCTTTCATTTCCTTAATGTGATATATCATACTAATTAACTTGTGGATGTTGAACCATCCTTGCATCCTAGGTATAAATCCCATTTGATGATGGAGAATGATCCTTTTGATGTGCTGCTGAATTTGGTTTGCTAGTATTTTATTGAGAATGTTTGCATCTATATTCATCAGGGATACTAGTCTGTAATTTTTTTTTGCTGATAGTGTCCTTTTTTGCCTTTGGTATTAGGGTAATGCTGGCTTCATAAAATTAGTTTGAAAATGTTTCCTCCTTTTTGATATTTTTTGGAACAGCTCGAGAAGGACTTACATTAATTCTGTTTTAAATGTTTGATAAAATTCACCAGTGAAACCATTTGGTCCTGGACTTTTCTTCATTGGGAGATTTTTGATTACTGATTCAATTTCCTTACTAGTAATTGGTCTAGTCAGACTTTCTATTTCTCCTTGACTCAGTCTTGATAGTTTGTATGTTTCTAAGAATTTTTCCATTTTTTCTATGTCCAGTTTGTTGGCATATGTTGTTCATACTAGCCTCTTATGACCCTTTGTATTTCTGTGGTGTCAGTTGAAATATCTCCTTTTTCATTTATAATTTTGTAGATTTGGGTCCTCTCTTTTTTTTCCTTGGTGAGTCTGGCAAAAGGTATCAATTTTGTTTATCTTTTCGAAGAACAAATTCATAGTTTGCTTAATCTTTTCTCTATTTCTTTTATTTCTGCTCTGCTCTTTATTATTTCCTTCTTTCTGCTAACTTTGGCTCAGTTTGTTCTTTTTCTAGTTCCTTAAGGCATAGTGTTAGGTTGTTTATTTGAGGTCTTTCTTGCTTCTCAATGTGGGTGTTTATTGCTATGAATTTCCCTCTTAGAACTGCTTTCGCAGCATACATTTTGGTATGTTATGTTCCCATTTTTTGTTTCAATGTAACTTTTTTATTTATCCTTAATTTCTTTTGATGCATCGTTGTTTAGGAGGGAGGTTTTTGATTACTGATCCAGTCTCCTTACTAGTGATGGGTCTATTCATATTTTCTGTTTCTTTGGAATCCAGTCTTGGTAGATTTTGCATTTCTAGGAATTTGTTCATTTCATCTAGGTTACCCAATTTGTTGGCATACAATGATCTGTAGTACTCTCATCCTTTTTATTTCTGTAGAATTGATAATGTCTCCCTTTTTGTTTCTAATTTAGAGTTTTCTCTTTTATTTTCTTAGTCTATATAAAGGTTTAATTTTGTTAATCTTTTTGAATAATCAAATTTGGGTTTCATTGACTTTATTATCTTTTAATTAATTATTTAAATTACTGTGAACTCATGGATGTTTGTTTAATTCTTTGAGTTATAAACTGTTACTACCATTACTTATTGTGTTGCTCAAATTCTCCCAGATTTGGCCATTGGAAGCTCTTTCAAGTTGACCTCTGTGTTTTTGTTATATACACCAATTATTTTTTGAGCTTTTCTTTTCAGACACCATAGGATGTCCAGGCTCATCTTTAAATAGTATTTTTTAAATGTTTTAAAACAGTAAACTTTTATTTTTTGCATTCTGAATTTTTTTTTTTTTTTTTTTGCTTTTTTTAGGTATGAAGATACATGGGCTGCACTTCACAGAAGAGCCAAGGAATGTGCAAGTGCTGGAGAGGTAAAAAATTATTGGCTAATCTTATACTGTGGTATATGCTAGCTTTTAAGACATTAAATTTGTATTTGGATTAAAATGTTTTGCAGGATGTCTGAAATTGAATTTAACAGTTGATTATGAAACTCCCTAACTAAGGCACATTTTCATAGTATCTCAGTCAGTTAGCTTAGTTAGACTGAGAGACTTTGACTTTTATTCTCAAGTCACAGATAAATATTTGGTTCATCTAGGTACAATGCTTTGAATTTGAGTCTGATGCCTTTGCATATGTATATGTAAATTATAAGGTGTAATTTCTTTTTACCCATTATTTAAGAATTACTTATCATTTGGACAGAAGCTTAATTTTGCTTAGTCTACCTAAAATCACTAAATTTGCTTAGCAAATAAGTATAAAATTTTCAGGGCTGGGGATCAGCCTTAATTCACTTAGAAGATCAAACTATTCTCTAGGCCTATGTATAGAGTATATAATGAATGTAAGTGACTTGTAATTAAAATTATTTGGTACATGTACTTAGAGCTTTATTAGTGACGATCAAAATACTCTTTGCTATTAATGTCAATGAAACATTTCTTTCTAAAAACACTTTTGTGATTCTGACTTTAAATTAATTTAGACTGACTTCCTTTACCACTTACCTAAATTAATGAAGTTGTAATAGTTACGTAGAACAGAGTAATACATATGAAATTTAGTCATTAGTGATTTTCTGAGAAATTACTGAAAAGGGGGGGATGTAGGTTTTTGGCCATAAGGTAGACTAGGTACTTTGAAAAGTCCTATGGATATAAAACACTTAAATGATGGAAAGATTTTTTTAAAAAATTTAATGCATTAAGCTCACAAAAATTGAGGGAGGTTATAACATGCCAAAAAACGAAAGGGGAACTAAAATCAGAGTGGCTAAAAAAAAAAAAAAGCCTGGAAGCTGGGGTCAAATACTAAAACAAAAGCTTTAGAGATTTATGGGGATAGGAGACTTTGTCTGTGGGGAACTGAATCTGACTCCTGCATAAAGCTCTTGGATCTTTGAAATGGCTACATCCCTCAGTAAAAGGTTATGCTAGGAAAAAAAGAAAAGCTTCCTGTTGGCAAAAGGAGGCAACAAGGAAACCTGTCTGTCTTTATGACGACTTGAAATAAATGTAGTCTCCTTTTTGGATTTGTTACCATGGTCTTGGCCTCACATGAGTGTGGGGCTCTAATTTATACTTCCTGCATGATCATGGAACCACTACATTAATAAGTGAAAGGGCCACAGGTGAATGTTTCTTGACACCCATCAGATACAAAGAACAGTGCTACATGGATAAAACTTCGTAAACCTAGGCCTGTCAAAATTCCTACAGGTTAATTTCTTACCACCACTTCCACAAAAAATTAGCAAACACACTAATATATTGCCAAAAGTTTGAGAGTTACCAGAACCAGAGTAAGATTTAGACCTACAAAGGACTTTAAATATTGCACTGTTGGATATAGACTATGCCTCAGTTTCTTCATTTGTAAAACAAAGGTGGTCATAATACAGTACTTAGTTTATAAGGTTATGTGATTTAAATGAGATAATACATGTAAATTGCTTAGCACAGGGCCTGGCACATAGAAAATGCTCAATATTTTAGTGTTATCATATAATTATTAATAATGATTTCTGAAAAGCCATCAACCGCCCACTCTTAAATGAAAGTGATATTTTACTATATTCTGATATATTCTTTTTTTATACTTCCTATATTTTATGTTTAGGATATAATTTTAATTTTGTGGAAGGCTTGATCTAAACTAAGTTTAATATTTAAATGTTGCATTTTAATTTTCAGTAAGAAATGGCTAATACCTAAAAATTATTTACTTGAGGTTTTTCAAGTTACTAGATTAACAGGCTTTTTTTTTTTTTTTTGAGAGGGGAAGTGAGAGAGATATAAATGTGAAAGAGAAACATCAATCAGTTGCCTCCGGTGTGCGCTCCAAGCAGGCATCGAACCTGCAACCTAGGTGTGTGCTCTAACCTGGAATCGAATATGCAACTTCTCAGTGTATAGGCAACACTCCAACCAACTGAGCCACCTGGCCAGGGTGATTTAACAGGCTTTTTAAAAGATACATCGTGTATCAGGAAAAATATATTATTTATCCTCAGATCAACCCTGTGGTAGAGGACTTATTTTTTCTTTTTTAGAGCTTAATACTGAAGCTAAGAGAATTTGCGAGAACTGCTACCAGAATATAAGCACCAAAGAGGGCAGGATTTTTTATTTTCCTGTTTTGTTCACCATTGTATCTTTAGCGTCTAAAAACAATGCTTGGCAGATAGTGGATGGTCTATAGAAGTTTGTTGACTTTCATTTTTTAAATTTTTATTGATTGCTTTCAGAAAGAGAGGGAGAGAGATCAATTTGTTCAACTTATTTGTGTATTCATTGTTTGATTTTTGTATGTACCCTGACTGGACATCAAACCTACAACCTTGGCATATCAGGACAACACTCTAACCAACTGAACTACCTGGCCAGGGCTTATTGACTATTTTAAATGAATTTTACGAACACAGATTTTTGTTTCAAGCCTTAGTTTCCTGATGATTGCATCACTGCTTGTCTATGAAGACTGCTCAATATTTTTGAAACTACTCTTAGGGATTATTTTAAAGCCAGCAGGCAATAGGCATTTTTAAGTGTACAAAATTTATGAGAAATGCCGCTTGAATAAAGCTTGGCATCACCCTCCCAGCTCAGTTGACTTGAATGTGGGAGATGATGTGGTTATTCCTCCAGTGTAGGCTGATAAACAATGAGGAGGTGGGGGAGCTGGGGACAGGGGGAGAAAAGCAGGCAGCTTTCTGACCTCTTTATTGTAGCTTAGTTCTTCTGTTTCAATGTTGTGAAATTCCTAGACTATTAAAATGTAGAAACAAACAATCACACTATATACAAATAGTTTTACATCTTATTTTGATATTTTTATTCCTCTAAAGTTCTTTCTTTAGTGAGATTCAGTAAGAATCAGTTGTGTTCATGTTTCAACTTGTGAAGACTTAATCTTCAGATGTGTAAATTGTCTTTTTTTTTTTTACTGTAACTTAACTGTGAACTCTGATTTACAGATAAAATTCAAATGCATTTTTTGTTACATAATGAATTTTTCCATCTTTATATTTATTGTACTAATTTGTGGGTATCTTTCACAATTCTTGCTTATCATTGTGATGTTTGCAAAAGATGACCTCTCCTTGCTCCTTCTAAATCTTATTCTAGGCTCCTTCACCTCCCACCATGTTAAGACCAAAACAAAATTGTCTGGGAGAAACTGATGTCCGTCATTTTCTTCACAGTCTTCGAGAAAGGAAGTTAGAATTATTTTAGGCTAGTCTAGTATTTCACCACCCTGCTATTAGGAATCCTTTACATCTGAATTACTTCTTTGTTAACATAAATCCTTTTTTTCTTTTCCTGGAATTGATCAGTTGCCTCAATAATTTCTTCATATACAAGTACCATTTACCTTATACAATAAGTGTTCCTGTTAAATGTACACTGAATCATAGTATATTCTAAATGCAGTAGGGGACTTTTCTGTTAAAAGAATTCCTTTTGTAAAGCAAATAATTACCTAGTAATTATGTTTTGGGTTGTTTTTGTTTGTTTTCATTTCAGTTGTTAGTGGTAGTTTTTTGTTTTGTTTTTCTAGATTTGGATTTTTAAACATGGGGTTTGCTTAAAAATAGGGTATACTTAGAAGCAATTTCTAGGGTCATTTCTGAACTTTCTCTTTTATCAGTTAACGTGCACTGAGACAAGCAGTAATTTGAGGTTTTCTGTACTGAATATTAAGTTGATTGTTTCCTAAGAAAGAAAACAACTTCAGTCTCCTTTTGAGTATCCTGTCACTTACAGTCATTCAGTAGAGGGGGTTTTAAAGATAACGTTGACCAGTTCTCATTATGCTGACCACGATTTCTTTGTGCTCAAAATCTGATTTTTTTACCCTTCCTCTTCTGTGTTGCAGCTGGTGGATAGCGAGGTGGTTATGCTTTCAGCACACTGGGAAAAAAAGAAGACGAGCCTAATAGAGTTACAGGAGCAGCTCCAGCAGCTTCCAGGTTTGATAGCAGATTTAGAATCTGTGACAGCAAATCTGAGTAAGTTTTATGTTCACATATGTACATTACCTTTAGGAATGAAAATAATTTGGACCAGACTTGGTATAATTTCAAAACTTTCTAAGAATACATTAAATTCTTTGTTAACAGGATTTTTTGGAAAGTGGTAAATTCTAGTTAATTTCATATTCTGATTGAGGATTAGAGAGAAAATGATTTAAAGTGTAGGAATAGTTTCTAAAATATAACAATAACTTTTTCTGGCTCATTTCAGCTCAGGAAACATAATTATAATTTTTTTTTTATTCTTAAAGTGACTTAGGTTTTTCTTTGTGACATTAGGTCTCTGTTTAAAAATATAAATATAGAAAATAAAAGGGATTAGAGTGACTTTGTCCTGACTATAGTATATACTCTGGACGTTGTTATTTTTAAAATTAGGTCTGCTTAGAGTGTCATGTCTTGCAGTATGCTTTTTTCCCTCTTCAAACTGAAAAGAGATCAAACAAATCTGGTTAAAGGATGGTACCTGTTGGGCTAAATTTGTACCTTGTGGAAGTTTTGGGTTTTTTCGTGTTTTTTATAGCAATGAATTATGCTGATATTCTTTGTTTCTTGAGTTTATATTTAGAAAAATTAACTTTTATGTTTGACAGTGCCACATCTTAGGGTAATATTGTGGCTTACTATTTTCTAACCACACTTGAGATCTTAGTAAGGGTTAGGAGCTGTCTGCACAGGAGATAAACTTTCTGAGCTAATAATCTGATCCAGTCTTATGGGTAAGAATACCCCATCACCTCTTCCTGTTTTTCAGTATCACCTTTTTTTTTTTAAAGCAAAACAAAAATGATTTACAAAATGAGTAATTAACAAATCCTAAAACAGTTTTTTTCTATGTGAATAAAGTTACCTGAATGGTATTTGGAATGCTCTTGCTGATAACAGTAGCTAATATTATAACACCTACAATATGTCATAGATCATTAGGTGCTTTACAAAACATAATCTTTAATCCTATGAACCCTACAAAATTAGTTTTATTATCCCACTTTACAGATAAGGAAAATAAGTCTTGGAGAGGTTGTGACTTGCTCTGGGTTACATAAAATATGGATCCAAGATCCCAACCACAGTGATGATGTCCCTCTGGGGAATGTGGCAGTTAGGATGACAGCTGTCAGTAGGCCCCAGGAACTATTCATAAAGCCCTGGCTGTTACAGTTTTTTCTGGTGTCGATGATTTGTTATTTCTGAAGGCAGGGCATGGAAAAGATATCCTGGGTCTTAGGAGAAATGTGAAATAGCCATGGTTTCCCTCTGCATTTTTCCTCTCTCACGGGTGTAGGCACAATCCTTCTCAAGCCTTTGATAACTAACTGATGGAAAAATAGCGTCCAAGATACTTTGCATTTTCCTTTCAGCCACTTTCTTTTAGCTTATGTTCCTGCATCTCCTTGAGTTGTTTGCTCTTCGCTGGTTGTATATCTCTTCGCACAGATATTCTTCTATGATAACCTCCCCTCTTTTTTTCTTCTTTTTCTTTTTTTTTTTGCCAGTGTAGACTAAATTCTGTTTAGAGATGTTCTTTCATACCACTCTGTTGATTAAATGCGTTTGCCACAATTCTAATTATTTTCATAGTTAATTCTGCTTAGGAAATGCAGTTTATATACATCTTTCTTAAAATAGAATATATTGTATTTTCATTCTCAATTAGGATTCTAATATCTTGAAAAAAGTTTGATATTTAGTAATATATGTCCTTCCTCTTTAGAAACTGCATCTTGGCTTCTTAAATGGACAGGGTCGGCTTCCCAAGTGCTCACTTTAATTCTCTCTTTGTTAATCCGAGGACATTGACCACCAATGGCAAATTAAAGCTAAAAGATTCTCCATACTATTCTGGACAGCTAATCACTTCCAAATAATTTAAACCATTTTTTTTTCTAGTCTGTGTCTAACCTATTAGAGCTCTTTTTGGAGAGTTAATTCAGTTTTCTTAGAAGATAACTCTAAAATCTAAATGGTTGGTTTTTATATTTATTGCCAATCTGAATATCATTGGCATTTGAAATACATGCTACCTTTGTGTTTTAATCTATAGCTGCTTTTTGCTTGATATTTTGTAATGAATGACTGATCGTAGAAAATAGCAAGTCAAAACTGGAATTCAAGAAGCCTAGTATTTGTTGACCTAGCATAAGCTGATAGAGGGGTGTTTTGAAATGTGACTTTTAGATAAGCAACGTAAGCTTATTGGAATTAGCGCTGATGTTCTTTACAGAAGGAAAATATTTTTAAGCCCAATTTGATGGGGTAGGTTGTATAAATATATATCCATATCATTGTAGTTTATGAATTCATTTTAATAAACTTATGCATCATTCTTAGGTATTAGAAGCACTTAGTGTTTTAAATCTTCACTCAAATACTGAATTATTTTTGGTAGTTTCAATATATCTCTTATCAGTGAATACCTTGATATAATATTACAAGACTTAAATAGTCAAGCCATAATAAAAAATAAAAATAACTTGGAAGAAAATAGTAACTGACCTATGTTTAGTCGCAGGATTCCCTTAACTTCTTTGAATTTTTACCTTCTCGTTGTATCTAATACCAAATCCAGTCAGTCCCTCCATTTGCCAGGCTTCTGAACTCTTTTAGTCTTGCTCTTTTCTCTAGAGAGTCTGCTCTTATTAAAGAGCAAAGGCTTTATATGATGTGAGGAATTTGGACCTTTGATGATGCTTTAGCTGCATTATCCTATGGCTTAAATATAACACTTGATTACTTAATCCCTCAGGAATTGTTAAGTAAGAATGGATAATCCATTTGTGTTTGGTGCTTTTTTTTAATGGAGTGTGATCCATCTAGCTTACAAAAGCTTGTGTAATATAAAGCTTATCCTTTAAAAAAAAAAAAGAAAAGATAAAGGTATGCTGGGAACTGGAAAATAAGGACTACGAACTAACTCGCAGATCTAGGTTTGAATCCCAATCCCACAACTTGTTTCTGTGAGACGCCATGCAGGTTTCTTAACTGCTCCAAGCTTTAGTTTCTTCATCTGCAGAATGAGGATGAGAGTAGCTGCCTCATAGGTATTTGTAGAGTTGAATGACAGATGTAAAGCACTCAGCACAGTGCCCAGTTTATATTAGGTGTCTGCTGGGTGCCTTGTGCTGTTTGTAGGCTCTGGGGATACAACAGTGAGTAAGACTGGGCACCTGCCATCAAGATGATGACATTCTAGTGGGAGTTTCTCCAGCCTTTACAAATTTACAAATCCATTGTTCGTTGATAGACTGCTTGGATGGATGTTATGCAATTTAGCTTATCCTGCGAAATAGTGTAGAAGGCAAAACCACAGCATGAAATGTGATGAAATGAACAGTGTAGTCCTCTGTGCATTCAAAAGGTAAATGGAATATTGTCATCCAGATTCTATACACTTTCTCATTCTGTGTAATTACCATAGTGTATGTCATCATGAAACTACTGAAATGTTTGAGAAGTATTTATTGAATTCTCTTGAACTTCCACTAGAGGGTAGTCAAATCTTACTCCTTTGTTGAAGTTTAAAATATCAAGGGCTTGTCTGAATTTTCTCTACTGCTTAGTTTATTTTTAATGACCTACTTTAAAAAGACTGTTACCTTCATCTAGACAAAAGATTCTGTTAGTTCTTAAATAACAAAGGGATGTAAGAAAATGAATTTGTAGCAGTTTTTTTAATCTGCCCTAACCTGATATATTATTTTTTTTATAATCATTATTAATTTTAATATTTTCATTATGACCATTATCATTATTTTTAAATTACATTGAAATTACTTGTTCACATTTTTCTTTGCCATTATATTTCCAAAACACACTTTATTTTTTTTTTTTTCAGTTTAATTTTTAAATTTTATTTTTGTTTAAAATATTACAGAAAACCTGATATATTATGTTTTGTTTTCTTCTACACAGAATTGAGAGAGTATCTGGCAGGGAGACTGTCACAGCTCTCAGTGTTTCATGAACTAGATTATCGTATTGTCCAGGTTACTTTCTAAGATTAGACCCTTCAAGAACATTAACTCCCTTTAGATATCTTGTAGTATACTAAATAATCTCATTTGTTTCGTAATGGCTTTTGTAGGTTAATTCACTTATTACCATACCATCATTACTGGATTACCGTATTAGATAAAACAGTAATGTAAGCATTTGAAGAATCTTGTGGTCTTTTAGTACCTGGCCTCTATGGCCTGTGGATTTGTAGTCAGTGAAGATTTTTTTTCCTTAAGGCTAATTATTTCTTTTAGAAAAGTACTCATTAAGTGTGAAATTATTAGTTTTAGCATACTGCTTCATTTTTCATTTATCAGTAGTTACACTACATATAATAATGTTTGAAACAAATGGCACAAAGAAAAATTTGAAAGAGAATGGCCCTTCCTCTGAGACAGCCTTCTCACAAAGATTTGTGAAGCTCTTTCCTGCACAGCTGTCAGGCATTCCCAAATGGCTTTTCACAATAAATTCCAGCGATCTTTTCCACTGATCACTAAATGAGACATATGCTGTTGTTACAGTGAGCAAAATGGTGAGATCTGAGCTTCTTATAAAGGTGTGTGTCCATGGAGGCCTGCTAGTGTTTTATGTACATGCATTCTAAGTTTGGTTACCAAATTTACTCACATTTGCAACTTGTTTGTAATAGGAAATGAGCAGATTGTGACAGGGAAATTAAATTTATGACCATTAAAATTCAATATAAAGTATTCAGATTATGAACAGGTTTATCTTACTGAATTAATCACCATTCATATAAATTCTCCCTGAACTTGTCCTAATACCACACTCTGCTCCCCATTAGCTACAACCCAGAAAAAGAGCATCAGCTCCCAGATTCACACTGCTTTGATGTCACTCCATCCCTTCTTCCACTCAGTAGCAAGAAAAAAATAAGCCACACAGAATTCACTGTACTATCAGTGTGAACAATGTATTTTGTGGTTTGACTTTTTCTTTGCTTATTGAATAATTTC